ATGCAAATGTACCTAAAGGGGAACATCGCCCCCCCTCCCCGTTACATTTAATACTCCGTCCCCTACAAAAGTAAGAAGAGAACCTAAGACAGCTTTACTAGCCCCCCACCCCCCCATCCTTTCTACAAATGTAAGGTGTACATGAGACAGCATTACATTTGATACCCCCTCTACAAATGTAAGAAGAATCTGAGACAGCATTACATTTGTAAGAAGAATCTAGGACAGCATTACATGATAACCCCTTCACCCCCCCCCCTTCTACAAATGTAAGAAGAATCTAAGAAAGCATTACATCTGATATATAAAACAGCTTTACATTTGATACCCTCTCTACTAACGACATATTAGAAACCTGAGACATCTCTACACCCACCGTTACACGTAACATTCCCCCTTACCTACAGCACGAGACGGCACGTGTATACCCAACCACCGGCTTCCCCGCCCGTCGTCTCCTGTTCCTTCAACAAACACAAGCCACGTTTAACCGATAATTCCTTATCTATACAAATAGGAGGTGCGCGAGAATTGAAAAAAAACCTCCCGTACACCTTTCTAAAAAACATAGATCGATCGACGAGAAGAACAAGCTAAAAAGGAGATAGAGTTTTTAAAACAAGCAGATTCCCCCAACCCTGTGTGTATTGATCGTGGACTTGTGTGACACTCTGGTCGTTTGCTCACACGGTGATACCTCGTACATGCGGGGGTGGGTGAGTGGTGGTGGCGGTGGGGGGGGGGGGGGGGGGGGACTGCCGCTGCCGTCACTGCAGCAAGTTAACCTTGTGCACGTTGGCTGTGACATAAATATCTGGACCCCCCGCATGCATGGGGAGGGAAGAGTGAACTACTCACACACAGCTGTCCTGACTTCCGGGATGATGATGTATGTATGAACGTATCGACGACTGGGACACGTTTGGTAGTAATGGCACCAACACCGGGGATATGGAATAATTAAAACAGGCAGAATCAAAATACAATGAATACGCTTAGGCCAAGATAAAGCATCTCTCACTTCTGAGGCCCTGAGGTGTTGACAGCGCCAGTGTTTCTTTCAGACTTTTTTCTCCAGGGGGGGGGAGGCTTGATATTTGGAGGGGGGGGGGGGGCGGATTAAATTTTCCGGTAGACTTCCTTCCTTCCTTCCTTTCTTCCCCCCCCCCCCCCCCCCCCGAAGAAATGCCTGGAAACTCTGTAAGCAGCAAGCTATCGCCATATCTTCATCAAAATCGTATTCTCTTGGGATTTTTTTTTACTAATAGAAAGACCAGACGTAACATAGATGTAGAGATGTAGACTGGGTTTGAATTAAATCAAGTAAAAAGTTACCCTTTTGAACACGCGTTGGCCAAGGGTCAGATAAAAGTAATAGAATGTATCTGTTTCTGTGACCTCGGCATTTGAAGATCTAGTTTGATCAGCACTATACCCAACCGCATTAACTTTCCCTAACAAATCAGGTACCCATCCGGGGGGGGGGGGGGGGGGGGGGTCAGGGAAATCTTATGCTGAATTTTTTTTTCAGCCGTACGAACGAAACGAAACTAAAGATATACAATTTATTTAGAAAATATATAGCAGGATCCAAACACGAGACTTTCAGGTTAGCAGTAGTACAATCTATCACTCGATCACGCCGTCCCACCATTGAAGAATGCTGGAATAATGGGCCTTCGAGGAATGAGGTGCCGACTAACAGCGTCCGTTGCGTAATTGTGTGACATTCACTTCATAGTGAGTCAAAATGAGGTTTTTTTTAATGTGGGGGGGGGGGGAGGAAACTGCATTACATAGTTACCCCCATAGCGCCAACTATTTTATTACTAAATTGAAACTCAGAATCGAATTTTAAAATAATTTAATGGATTGCTTTTCAAAAATATAGAAGTAAACTCAGGCGGTTAGATCATAACTGGTGTGTGTGCAAATACATTGCCGTGAATGTGTGTGTTGTAACGAAAAGCTGTCATCTCTAATCAGATCAGTGCCATCAATGCGGAAATTTAATGTTTAATGCCTGTTGGCATCGGCGATCAATTTATGTCAGTGTATAACAGAATTTTTTTTAAAGGCTTTTAACTGTGTTTATAATATTTAGCATTTGAATAAATTATACAACTACACTAGGGAGTGGCTGAAATCTAGCACATGCTATTAAACGATATTTCAATTACGTTTACAATGAAACAACACAATGATCGCACTTTACCTATTGGTTACATAAAAGATTGCTCTTTAGACTTAGCGATGTATTAGGTAAATGAAGTAGTTCACGTGTTTCTTGACATCGGTAAACGAAGTGGTAATGTGGTCAAGCACTACGCCCAGCCGCTTCACTTTCCTCAACTAGAGTTAGGTACCCATCAGAGCTGAGTGGACTCAGGGACGTTCCACAAACTTAAACCCGGATTCGAACTCGAGACTTTCAGGTTAACAGTCTAGAGCTCTACCCCTAGACCACGCCGTTTATAGGTTAAATGAAAAGCCCTGTAATTTCTACATGTCTGACTGATCCTAAAGCTTACTTGTACGCCTGTTATACATTGTCATGTGCAGTTTGAATGGTGGTGGTATTGATGGCGCCAAGGTTAAAGAAAAAGGAACACGATCTTCAAAGAAAAGTGTAACCGAGTATTTCCTGTCTTAAATGCCGAAGAATATCGGTAAATTAGTTCGACCAGCGAGGACTCGTCTGGGCACTTAACACGTGACCTTCTACAGGTGACGCAAGGACGAATCCAACCGCCCCGTGTTTCTTTTAGGCATCTCTACGGTTCGCCCTCCCCCCTCTTCCAACAAGCACTTCTAATCCTACCCCCTAACCCAAACCCCCGGACAAAATAAATATTTAATTTAAATATATAAAACCATTGCACCCCCACCCCTAGGAGCAAAATATCTGAAAGAAACCCAGCCATCGCCTTTGTTACAACGTTTTCTATCGCTAGGTGATACCCGACACACAGAGTATCATATTTTTTATATTGCGGACTACGGGGGGCTCTGTATTCTCACTAGCCCTCCCCCACAACTGTATTTGCTTGATACATACAGCATGATACACCGTCTTGTGGTTGTGTGTGGTGATGTGTGGAACAGGATACAGTGCGGCGTCCGCTAAGCTAAGGCTTACAGACTAAGAACCTTTGTCAACATGAGCTTTCAGTAATTGTCGGCAGGTTTTACAATACATAACAAAGGACTGTGGAAAGGAAAACCGAAGACATACATTGGCGGCTCGTATTATGGGGGAGGGGGGTGCAAAATACCCACTAGATTCGCCTATGAGTGTTAATTATACTGACTGTGATATATTTAAAGAATTATTTAATCTCAATCAAATATTGTTCCATATATAGTTTTATCACTTGCGTGTTGAAAAAAAAATCATCACCTACCAAGCCTAGATCCGAGAATCAACAACAATAAAAAATTCGAGTTCATCAGATGAATATATAGTCCCAGCAACTTGTTTTATATGCACAGACTCTTCCCCACCCCCTGTCTTTAGTCTGTCTCTCTCCACTAAGCCCACCCCCCAACCTCTTTCTGGACATTCTTCCTAAACATACTAAAGCAAGAGTGATCATACACGATAATTAATCGACAAAAACTATCTAATTTAGCCTGTCATTTAAACAGTAAAAGAAAGGAGGTACACAAGAGAGTAATGAAGACATTTTTTTTTTCAATCGATCGCATCAATCAAATGGCGATAAAAGCGGGATCGGCGCGATAAAAAGCGGGATCGCCGAGGCCAAACAGCAGTTGATAAATGTCAAGTTCAGCGCGGTAATTCTTATTTCATATCGTTAACAGACATATCGTTTCTTGTACCATTCACTTGAAACAGTTAACGGAATACAGAAGAACGCCAATTAAAAGAAAATGTATTATACCCATTATAGGTTATAACTATAACTGATAATTTTTTTAAAAATAAAAGTCAAAAACATCTCTTAGGTTTTTTTTTATTAATGACAGGATAATCTTTAGAAAAACGCAGTTGTATTTTTTCAAATTGAAATATGATTTTTGTATTCATCGATCAAAACCATCTTAACTACAATGGTAAACAAATTATGATAAGAGAATAATAACTCAAAACTTTACAAAGCGTAGGCTGTAACTATAAAGCTTTATGTTAAAAAAAAAAAAAAAAAAAACACCGGGTTTTTCCAAAGAGCTGCTTCTATAAAAGACCACAATATTCCAGTATCCCACTAAACCCCATTATTTGCGACCGTAGCCTAAAGCTAGGACGACCCACCCGCCCGTCATTAGCTGGTCACTCCCTAAAGCCCGCCCCATTAAAGGACGGCTCTGTGATGGAAATAGTTCGCGTACACTGGCAATCCAATTATGACGTCATTACACTGATCTGAAGGGTGCTTCTCTGGGGTCAAGCATTTTGACGCCACAATGCTTGTCCACTTTTGTGGCTGGAGTTTACCACATGCACAATTAACAAAGCTGGTTGTGTGCCACTTGAATATAGTATTCTTTTTCTTGTAAATTGGTACTTAATTCCAGTGAATGTACCCAATTTACATATCACACCACTAGTAGCACTGGCAAACTTGCTTCAGAGTGACCTAATCACAATTACTCTTGTGTAAGATGTCATTACTATTCATCAGCAAGTGGTATAGATAGACTACACATTTCAGAACAGACTAAACATGGCAATTCAAAAGTAAAAACAACCATACCAATGTATTTGTGTAATTTTAGTCATTTCAAAACCACAAACATCCTCACTGAATAGTACATCAGCACCATCTTTCTGGACCAGTGTTTCTACCAGACTTTTTTCTCTGGGGGGGGGGGGGGGGGGGTCACTTAAAATTTTCAGGGGTGACGGGAAACTGTTAAAAAGTATATCTTTTCTATAAAGATTCTATTTTGTTCGGGGGGGGGGGGGGGGGGGGGGGGGGGCACTCAGAGATGCCTGGAAGAAACATTGTTCTGAAGAAACCAAAAAAAGAACTTACTTTAGAGATTTCTCTACTGTGTTTGTTCTGTAGATTTCCTCAGCATCAATTTTAATAGCCACACAGGTATTTCTCCCACTCCCAGAGAAGGATGATGATGGCAGGTTTTTGGCTTCTCCTGCAGTACCAAATTAAAAACTATGACAACCTTTTTTAACAGCTCAAATAATTTTTATACTAAGGGATTTTTTTTTCTAAAACTTCATAATATGTGTAGTTGATGGTTGATTATTATGAATTACCACCACTAACAACCGAAGCATTAGCATTATGTTTCTTTTAGCAATGTACTTTAAAACTATTTTAATTTTGCACTAAAGAAAGGATGAGAGTTTATTATTGAAATAGGCTCTAATCACAACTGTAAATGAGAGGATAACGATAATTAAACGATGCCACATGATTCTATTAATCAACTCAAGGTAAAAAAAAAGTAACTGGCATATCCTTTGTATTTGTAGAAAGTATCCATGACATCTATAAAACAATGGTTAAAACTCATCTTACACTTACAGTAGTAACTTACACACATTTGAGAAATATTTCCTTTCATGTACACTTAAGACTTGGTATTTAAATAGAATCCTCAATTTTTAATTAAAAAAAAATATCAACAAAAGAATTTCATGTAGGTGTTTTAGAAAAAAACAGTTTTAGTAACTTGTACAAATTGTCCTTTTAATTCTTTTTCTCTAAATATTTATATTTGTAATATGCATTAAGAGACAGATAATAGGTTTCACTTCATACAAATTTAGAAGCACTTACATAGCAGTCTGGCTGTTTAGTCTACTAGTTGCAGTTTACTATTATTAGCTCCCTACTAGCCTAAAATGAGCCAGCACTAGGGGAGCTTATTCACCACTAACTTATCAATGAAATGCAGACAAAATAGGAAACAGAGTATAATTCAAGAGCTTTACTCTTTTCTTTTGTTTAACAGTCTAAAATGTGCACTGTGTATACTGAATCAATTGCATTTCAAATAACAAGCCAATAAAAAAAACAAATGTTAAAAATACACAGGCAATTGTAGAAAGGGGGTAGGTAGGGTAAACTAGTGGTAAGTTAGTTCTAGTGGAATATAAAAAAGTTGGTTTTGTATAGCCAGGCTTCGGAATCAAATGTAATGATTCTTGATGACTATGAATGTCACACATTCTGCTATCATAATTGTTATTAGTTTTTGTCATTTGAGTTATAACCAAATTTTTATAACCACTTTGCTAGTATTACTGCAATATGAATGTCATTCGCACTGATTATTTTAATTATATATATATATATATATATATATATATATATATATATATATGGTGAACAAAATTGTTTGACTGTAGGATAAAAACTAAAAGCAAAAGTGAATATCATGACCCTGTTGCCCCCCCCCCCCCCCCCCCACCCATATCCAAATTATGTGGTGTAAACTGGGAGGAAGTAAAAGACTGGCATAACCCACATATGTAGCAGATGGTAACATGGATGCCAGAAAGGCTTGGTTCTTCATCCTGTTGCAGTCTGCCTCACTTATATATAGTAATAGCATTATTCAAGCTGATTATATCCTTATACTTATATGAGAGAGAGAGAGAATTTAAAAAAAAACTACTTAAATTGTTGTTAACATTTCCCAAAAAAGCTAGCATAATGATACTCAGTATTGGGTTAATTAGAAAAGTACCAATTATTGTTAACTACACCCCCAATGGGCTGCTAGGAATGCTGAGAGGGACCTGATCATTAATGTAACATGGATGAAAAATGTTTAAGCTTCAAAACAAAATTGCATTTTAAGAATGGTGTAGTGTCTAAGTCTACCTTTGTCAGCATTTGAACTATGTGGGTTTTTCAGGTTGATCCCATGTTTTGTGTTGTAATGAGCATGGTAAATGTTGGTAATAAATATGGTTGAAAAATTGTTCCGATTATTTTGGTACAACAAATTGTATTAACGATATATACCAAACGTTTCATTCCGAGTTAATTAAAAAAAATGATGAAAACAAACTACATAGGTTGGTACATTTGAGTGTTAAAAATAATCAACTTATAAACGTACACAGGCTACTAAATAAAAAATAACTATTTTTACATGTTTTATAAATATAACCATACTAATACTGAATACAACTTACTCAGTACTGACAAATATCTAAAATATCGATATTTTTTTTAAAAAATAGTAAGGATTCTTTTTCTTTAGACCTAGCTATCCATTGGGCAGATGAAGTACAGTTCATTGACCCTGGCATTCAAAGTGATAATGTGGTCAGTACTATGCCCAGCAGCCTTCACTTTCCCTTGCCCTTACCCATTAGAGTTGAGGGGACTTAACTCAGGGACGTTCCACTGACTTCAACCCGGATTCGAACTCGTGACTTTCCAATTAGCAGTATAGCGCTCAACCGCTAGACTATGCCGTCCCATAAAATATCGACATTAATATGAGTTAAAAGCATGTCGATTTGTACTTTCTACTACATAAATAAGTTTTTAAAAAGCGATATAAGGTAGATTGTTTATATTATTGTTTGAGTTTATATTTAACTTAATGCAACAAGCCCGCCGGTTGGTTGAGGCCACGCCGGGGAACAATCTGTCCGGAATTCAAAGGGTCAATTCTAAATATCATCCAGAACTAGAGTCTAGTTCTAGTAACTTGTAGATCTAGAATCTAGAATCAGTATGTAGCTTTTTCTGACAAGGGCAGACAACCTACTCCCAAAATCTCACCATGAAAAATTTTTGTGTTTTTAAAAAAAATATTTGGGGTACTCTCTGGTTTTTTGGAAATAAAAAAGTACTCTACTGTTTCCTGTCATTTCTACCACGTTTTTTGAACAGGAGAGGATCAGCTCTGTAATGAAGTAAAATTTTCATTTTTCCGATGTTTTTTTTACCAAGAAAACTTCAAGTGAAAAATTAGGTAAGCTTGAACCTATTACATTTATAATTATAACATTATTCTTTTAGCAGAAATGAGCATAACTTTACAGAAGAACCATTTACTCTTGTAACTAAACCATAAAAAGTTAAAAAACTCATCAGCAATTTACTTAAATTAATTTTTTCCCTAACTCAGTAGGGAAGCTTTTTTCAGCTGCCATCTTGTTTCCGTAATAGAGAATATATAGTAAAAAATGTACTCATCTTAAAACCTTAGTGTTGCAATAAATAGCTGAGACTTTTAGCAGAAATGAGAATAACTATATAGAAGAACTATTTACTCTTGTAACTGAATCATAAAAAGTTAAAAAACTCATCAGCAATTTGCTTTAATTAATTTTTTTCTCAACTCAGTAGGGAAGCTTTTTTCAGCCGCCATCTTGTTTCCCCAATAGAGAAAATATAGTAAAAAATGTACTCATCTTAAAACCTTAGTGCTGCAATAAATAGCTGAGACTTTTAGCAGAAATGAGAATAACTATATAGAAGAACTATTTACTCTTGTAACTGAATCATAAAAAGTTAAAAAACTCATCAGCAATTTACTTAAATTAATTTTTCCCTAACTCAGTAAGGCTGCTTTTTCAGCTGCCATCTTGTTTCTGTAATAGATAATATATAATAAAATATTATACTCATTTCAAAACCTCAGTGCTTTAATAAATAGTAGAAGATTGAAGCTGAAAAGTGAATAACTATACAGAAGAACCTTTTTCCCTTGTAATAGAATTATAAAATGTTCAAAAAGAAGTCAGCAATTTACTGAAATTAATTTTTTTCTTTTACAGAATTAAGTTACAAATTTCTTCACATATCTTGTGAATTTTGCAGAGCGTGCTGTTCCAGACAGCCCCAGAAATGATCAAGTAGATGAAGCTCGACCCCAGTAGCTGCTAGCGGACCGATGAGGATGTTTTTGGACAGAAGATAGTGGCTGGTATGGTTCACCAGTATCTGTTGGTGGACAATAGGCTCCTGCGATATGTCCTGTCTGTGCTCTTAGTCTACGCAGGATGTTATGGAACGGCAGATATCCCCTTACTTGACTGGTAGCTATTCTGACCCTTCTGAGGAAATGTTAAAATGGACTCAGCTCCTGCCCACAAGATCCATGCTGAGAGGATGCTGGGATATATGGACTGATGCGCTGAGCTCTAAACACCACTGGGTTTTCTGGATTTCAGGGTGAAGGCAAAGCTGAACTCAACCCTTCAGTGGCTGGGAAGGAAGTCAGAAGCAGAGCAGAAAGTCCTAGAGGGACAGCACTTGGCTGGTAAGGACTGCAATTACTTCAGAAGGTTTTTGAATCAGAAGACTGGGATTCCTGTACAATCTCTAATTGTGGATCTTGCAAACGGTGACCTCAGTTTTGATTAATAGTTAGTGGTGAGTTATTCATTTTATTATTATTTGTTGAAACACCCAGCTATTGAATTGTTTTAATCAGCTCAATATAATGTACTGGATAGTATTGACTGTATTGTATGTAAATTAGAACCTACACATGAGGTAAGATACAATTTTTCCCCTCATTTTAAATCAAAAATGTCTTTAAATAAAAAGCTAGGCCTATTCATTAATTAGGTATAGCCTAGTTAACTATTATTCTTTGCGTTTCAGGGTTCTTAATTGTATATTTGTATTGTAATATTATAGCCACAATGTAGTTTTAAGTTTTTAAAGATAGTGCTCTCTCGGGCCTAACAATTTAAATTTTGAAAGAAAATTATTTAGGCCTAGTATTAATATTAAATTTTTTAATTATGCGCAAAATAATACCAAATTGTTATAGCTGTAATTAAATTTTCTGTGTTATTTCAGGGCTGATATTATTGTAACTTTTATTTGTGATAAATTGTGATATAATATTTCCAAATACAATTTTTTTAAGATCATTTTGCTGTTTTTGTTTTTTTGCTTTATGTGTTATCTCCCTTTTACAATATTTGTGTTGTTCGCCTCATTAAAAAACAAAAAAAATGATTTCTCAGCTTCTAATTAAGCTAGAAATACAAATGAAGTATCTATGTCATGTTTACCTTTAACACTATGTAACTAACAGGTTTATAAGGTATAAAACTCAATAATTCTAATCCAATGCTACTGAGATTAGATTATACAGATTCAGTGGGCATGTATTTTTGGGCCAGGAATTCCTTTAAGCTTAAATCTATCAAATTCAAAACAAAATCTAGGAGGAGAAACTTTGTTCTTTTTAGTAATCTTTATTAGTTACACTAGGATATATCTTTCTTTAAGTTTGAGTAGGCCTATTAAATTAGGCTAGAACTAGACTATTAGGCCTTATAGATCAAGACGTCTAGATTCTAGTATTATTTTAATATTATTCCATAGCCATAGCATAGAATACTAGAATTCTAGATCTAGATCTCTATAGGCTGGTAGTATAGGCCTGGCCTAGGTAAAAAAAAAATTAGGGCCGAGGGGCCAGGGCTACATTTTATTTTTTAAATTTTAATAGGCCCTACTAAAATAAAACTAATGAAATAGTTTAGGTCTATAGGCCCGTATTTAATATTTGATATTTGTAGGGATTCTAAACGAAACTTAAAGACACGACAGTAGGCATAATCACACGAGACAAATTAAAAGTGTGCTTGCTGCGACAACCACTGACACAGAGCCCTCCGTGAGTATGATGTCACTTTGTGTGCAGTGTGTATCGCTGTGTCGTGTGTGGGTATTGGTCGCAGTCGAACTAGTTTTATTAATGTGGTAAATAACATATACACAATGCAGCATAGAATTCGTAAAGATATGTTTATTTTCTAATAAATTCTCATTCATACATGCACTAGAAATACTACTAACCTATTTTCACACGCAAAGACTCCTCCACTCTGACATCATCATACTCCGCTTCTGCCATGTTTGTAAATCCTATACAAATGAAGATCCGGATATGAACTCCAATGAAAGATATTGACAGTTTTTGTTGGCCTATAATGTCACTAGCCTAGCTATGAATGAAGTTTTCAAGCCCCGCCAACTATTTGATCTAGCCTACAAGCAAAATGAAAATAATTTATTATTGACGAAATACGAATACAAATGTAGAAATTTTGATCTAATACCCTTATTATAAAGTAATATAACGAAAGAAAAAATATCTGTAAATTTCACCTTATGTGTGTAAACTTTAAATGTGTAGTTTTTTATTTAGAAATTAAATCTAGACTAGCTAGTTTTGGTCAGTGTAGTTCTTAATCCTTAGAGTTTGATTTAGTTTAAATTGAAACCATTTATCAAATACTATTAATACTCGCTTTATTGTGTTCTAAACACTACATGTACATACACCCATTCTCGTTTTAACTGTAAAGTAGGCCTACTTTATTCAAAATGTAAAACCGCCAAGTTTACATGGGGTGGCGTGTTGTGTGAGGAAAAGGGGGTTGGGGTCAAAGTTTAGAACGGTAGGGCCAAGGCCTAAAACATGTCTCCCCGTCTTACTATTTATCCAGTTTTTTTTTTAAATTATTTTTACATATCCCCTAATGTTACTTTAGCAATAAAGTTAATTAAATTGGCGTACATTTCATTTGACGCACAGGAGCCGATCGAAACCATATAAGAATTGAAATTCTACTCTAGTACTAGAGATTATCAATAGGTGCATGCATAAATAATACACAAACTGTATAATAAATTAATATATGATATAGCATAATATATAAGCATATATATATATATATACATATATATATGTGTGTGCATTGTGTATATATATGGAGATAGATCTATTTATATAATGTGTAGGGCCTAACTTGCTAAAAATACTATTTAGTTTAGTAGTATTTGATTTGTAACTTACAAGCTGACAATAAGTTAATTTCCATTCAGGCTAGACTAATTTATAATATTTTATTTTAGCGTAATAGCAGCATATATTTTATTGTACTATAGGCCTAATTACAAAATGTGAGAATTGTTTAGTAATTAATAATAATTAAATAATTAACTTTAGTTATAATGCCCTATACATTTATGATTCGTTTACTTTTTAAAGGATTTAGTTTTTAACTAACCATTGCTTGGTTGCCCTAGCGATGTTTCAAAATGGCGCTGGCTGGGGTAAAATTTGATGATGGTCAACCTGGTTTTGTTCCAAATTGCTTTCCTGTGCGGCCCATTTTCGGTCACAACAGTAATGATGGTAAATAATATAAATAATAATATAATATTTATACAAAGCTATTAATTAATTCAATTATCCATTGAACGTCGCACAATTTCTCTACAACTACAACGTCAACAGACAGAGACACAGAGAGAATAGAGTGAAATGTCGGAAGTCACACACTTAAACTTTAAGAGACCAGACTCTAGACTCGTCATATTGATATTTTATTGTAATAATCATTGCTTTGTCTCTGAATTATCATTTTTATTGCTATATCAAAGTTAGGCTTACTATTATTTAGGCCTATTAGAAAAATGATTTATAAAACTTATAATAGGCCCCTTAAATGACTAATATTTTTTTTTAGATTTTCTCCACTCCAATGTTACTACTTTATTTAGGATTACATACTAAATTAAAATATTTACTACATGTATTGTCTGATGGGATATCTTTTTTGGAGCCTATTATATCCATTTGTCACTGGCCTTTTTGATGGAGATTCTTTGTCAGGGCCATTATCTATCAGCTAATCTTGCCTACAATTATAATTTGGTTTATTTTGCAGGTGGAAAATGGTTAGTTGTGCAGCATGAAGAGCAGCAACGAAGATTTAACTCCATTTTGTGCGCTAAGCCTCGGACATACTCACGCATCAAAGAAGAACGCAAAAAGTCTGAGCGTCTGGGGACAAAATTAGACAACCATAGCTTCAATGAAAGCACAGAGGAAAAAGAAGATGAAGGAAAAATTTTGGATGGATTTTTTTTGGTACGTTATTTTTCTTATACTAGTATTATCATAAGTATTCAAATTCTTCAATAAGAATTAATATGAATTTAAAAAAGCGTTTCAAATTGTACATACAAATTTTTTTAAAAACATTTTATTAAAATCTTAATTCTCATTACACAGAAGCGGAATAATATATATTATGCAGTTAATTCTCTGACAAAATGATTTGTATTTTTTTTAAAATTATTAAACAGATGAAACACAGCTGTGTTGAAGACCCATCAGATCTTTGTTCTGTAAATGTAGCCAATCAAGAGCTAGTTGATGTCAAAGAAGAAGACATGGCACTATTTGAAAATGTAGCCTATGTAAATGCTGGAGAAAACTATTTACCATTTGGTAAGAAACAAACATAGGCATTTAGAGGGTCACATTAATTAAAATAATTTAAAAGCAATGGCTTTGTCTCAATTGTAATGATATTCCACTTGTTGATATGAAGAATAGAAATAAATGTTATTGGTATTTGCATTTTTTTAGTATTCTCCTAGACTCTGTCATGAATCTCTAAACTATTTAGAATCCAGATTTAATAGTCTGAATATTAAACTTTAAATAGTAAAATAATTAAATGACTATAAGCTAAATTTTTGTCAGGAGAATAATTATTTGTAAAGATGGCTGCATCTGTTTCTAAAATTCAAGCTTAATTAGCTTTTTAATAATGGAAATAATTATGTGTGTGCTATATCCTACACCTTAGATAAAATGTCTTAATTTTTGTTATTTGTACTCACACAGAGGCTTTTAGAGGTTTTCCATCATTAAGAGAACTGGAATTACCACTGAATGGACTCAGAAGCTTAAAGATATCACATACAGACTTCTCTAATCTAGAGGTTAGTTTTTATAAGATATCACATACAGACTTCTCTAATCTAGAGGTTAGTTTTTATAAGATATCACATACAGACTTCTGTAACCTAGAGGTTAGCTTTTATAAGACATCACATACAGACTTCTCTAACCTAGAGGTTAGTTTTTATAAGATATCATATACAGACTTCTTTAATCTAGAGGTTAGTTTTTATAAGATATCACATACAGACTTCTCTAACCTAGAGGTTAGTTTTTATAAGATATCACATACAGACTTCTGTAACCTAGAGGTTAGTTTTTATAAGATATCACATACAGACTTCTGTAACCTAGAGGTTAGCTTTTATAAGACATCACATACAGACTTCTCTAATCTAGAGGTTAGCTTTTATAAGATATCATATACAGACTTCTCTAATCTAGAGGTTAGCTTTTGTAAGATATCATATACAGACTTCACTAACACTTCACTAACCTAGAGGTTAGTTTTTATATCACATGCAGACCTTTAACCTAGAGGTTAGGTTTTTATAAGATATCACATATAGACTTTAACTAACCCAGAGGTTAGTTTTTATAAGATATTACGTACAGACTTCTTTAATCTAGAGGTTAGTTTTTATAAGATATCACATACAGACTTCTCTAATCTAGAGGTTAGTTTTTATAAGATATCACATACAGACTTCTGTAACCTAGAGGTTAGCTTTTATAAGACATCACATACAGACTTCTCTAACCTAGAGGTTAGTTTTTATAAGATATCATATACAGACTTCTTTAATCTAGAGGTTAGTTTTTATAAGATATCACGTACAGACTTCTCTAATCTAGAGGTTAGCTTTTATAAGATATCATATACAGACTTCACTAACACTTCACTAACCTAGAGGTTAGTTTTTATAAGATATAGCATACAGATTCCATTAATCCAGAGGTTAGTTTTTACAAGATATCACATATAGATAGACTTCTCTAACCTATAGGTTTGTTTTTATAAGATATCACATGCAGACCTCTAATCTATAGGTTTGTTTTTATAAGATATAAAATACATACCTCTCTAACCTAGAGGTTAGTTTTTATGGATAGCTAGCAAAAAAATGTTAAACTGCTAATATACTTTAATAGACTAAATGGAGAATATGCATGTGTTGTCAATATTTTATGCTCTAACAAGGAGAATTTTTTGCAGATGTTGGATCTGTCGTACAACAACCTGTCCCAGGATGATCTCTTGAACCTTGGTCTCCTGGTTAAACTCAAGGTGCTGCATCTGACAGGGAACAACTTCAGTGGCTTGCCTCAAGATTTAGCCATGCCTTATCTCTCTAGAGAAAGGTAAGTTTTTCTCCCCATGTTTACAAGCTAACCGTCTTTAAGTACAAAGCTGTTGGGGCATATGATTAAATGTAAAGAAGACCTGATGATACATAAGAAGACCTGATGATACATAAGGAAGATGATTTGGAGTTACTGTTTCTTTGATAGTAGTCAGCGCTATACCAAGCAATCTTTACTTTACCTCACTAGTCATGTAGGCATTTGAGATTTTCAATGTCCATACCTACTTTAGCCAGGGTATCAAACTTGAGGCTTTCAGTTTATCATTCACAATCTTCTCGCCATCCAGCCATAATTGTAACTTTAAGTCCATAAATATATAGGAAATACATACAGAATTAAACTAAATTAATTTTATTTTTACAGGCAGGTCAAAGTTCAGAGGTTTGCCTGCCTAGAAGTTCTGCTCCTGGATGACAACAAGCTGAAGGAGATGACTGTGTTTGCAGCACTGGCAGGACTCCCAAAGTAACACTTTTAATGTCATTACTTTCTGATCAGTTATCTAGCTTTGTATGTTTTCATTGACAACTATGTCATTCAAAATCTTGACTTTCTGTCTGTCATCGCATGCGGAAGTGTTTTTATTTTGTGCAGCTTTTTTTTTTAATTATCCAAGCTCATGTAAATGAAAATATAAAATGGTGTTGAAATTTTAACTTGTGACTTGATTAGGAAAATGAAAAAACATTAAATTTGGCCAAGCGAAAAAAAAAAGTTATTTATAAGAAATAGTTAATTCCTCTTGCCAGTAAGGCTAACATTTAGTTATTCCAAAGAGTCAGATAAAGCCAACTAGAGTAATTAGGTTTCTTGCATACAAAAGTATGTTTCTTGTGTAAACAGGTAGGCTATGTTTAGGAAAAAAAAGTGATTAAGCATATAGAAAAAAGAAATAAAATCATTAAATTAAGAGGAGCATTGTATTTTTTTTCTGTTTATCTAATTTGTAAATTTGTATTTTATTTACCCAGGCTGAGACACCTAAATCTGTCCAAGAATGAGCTCTATTTTGTGCCCCAACTTAAATCTGTGGAAGGAAGGGTGATAACTCAGGATGGGAAAGACAGGAAACGGTCGAGTCACTCTTCCCACTCTAGAACCAGCAGGAAAAGCTCTCGTCAGTCAAAGCAAAGGAATTCTGCTAAGGAAAAGACTGAAGGTCAAAATGATGACTCTTCAAACTTGGGGGAAACTAGAAAAACTTCTGACAGTAAAGGTGTGTATTAATTTTAACATCTAAGTACAAAATCAACTCCTAGGATGCACATCATAAACTTGTATTCATCTCATTTGTTTTAAAATTCTAAACACAGCAAAGTAGGTCTAGCATCACTTTTCTTCTTTCATGCAAAGTAAGATTGAAATCCAGATTTTTAGTATTTTCTTTTAAACACAAATACGGGTACTTTTCAATTACCTTAAATATGTGTTTAGATGCTGATATGTATGTAGGCTATAAGTTATTACATAAGGACTCAAAGGCAAATAGAGTTCAACTGTTGTGGTCAGGCTGCCATTTTTACTTCCCCCAACTTATGACATGCAATTTAGAACTGGTTGAACTCAGACACATAAAAAAGGATTAAAGCTCAACTCTACAGGGTTTGTAATTGTACTCTGCCACTCTACCACCACTCAACCCCTCCTCCCTCTCCCACTCCCGCTCCCTCCAAGAACAAATATAGTCTTACTTCAAGCTGTTATACCAGATAACTTTATAATGAATGGTCAGCTACAGTTTTATATACAACCTTCCCAGAGTTGAAAGATGCAAGTCTACCAGGTATACAAGTTGTTATTGTTATATGTAGAATATATATAGCTAGTTTTGTTTACTTTCAAATTTGGAGAGTTCTATTTTAACCACTGACAGACCAAATATTTAAAAAATGATTTATTTTGATGTTTCTTTTAAAATTTGTTTAAAATAAACATTAAAATTTGAAAAATATTTCTCACTCAAGACTTTAAGTCCTTTCATAACTAATAGTCTGCCAATTATATGACTTCATTTCTTTATAACTGTTTAGTAGGTTACAAAATTATGTTGTTTTTTCCCTTTATTTTCTTACGTAATTGTTTTTTTTGTATTTTGATGAGTATTTTATTTTAACTTACCGCTACTTAAGAAAAACATTTTATTTTAATACATATGAATTACTCTTCATGGTAACTGTTGTGTTTTTTTTAAATACTGTTACTTTTTGTTTATTTACTTTACCAGTAGCCTCTGAAGGAGAATTTTTTTTATCTTTGTATTAACACTATAACTTCTTTTGAATTCACCTCCCTATTGTTTCCATAGTTGTAGCTAGTCAATTTGCTTTGTTAAAAGAAAAGGGAAACTAATTTTGTTTAATATTTTGAAGATAAGTGATTTCTTTTTCCAAGAAATCAAAATGGATTTTTTTAAAAGATTTACTTCAAATTTTAAATAAAATGCAATTCATCACACTGTTTATAATTGAATAGATAATTGAATGCATTTGTAAATTACAAATAGTTTTATGAATAAACTTGTAGCATTTCAAATTATTAAAATAGACAATTTATTTTTTTAAATATAGATCAAAATATTCATTTCAACAAACTACTGTTAGTATTTGAAATTATACAAAAACATAAATCTCTCATGGTTTATTTATGAAACAATTTGTTTTTCCTTCAGATCTATTAGCTGATGACTTCAGTACTGCTGACCTGTCTGCTCGCATAGAAGAATTTGATGAAGAATCTACAACATCAGCGCTAACTCCACATCCAGAGCTGGATGGCCCTCAAGTGCCACCATTTCCTGAACTGCGATATCTGAATTTGGCCAACAACAATGTAATTTAGAAACACAGCCTCAAAGCTGTCTTGTGGTTTTGTTTGTATAAAACTTACAAAATATTAGTGGATGATGATGGCCATATAAGTATTGTGGGATAAAAAGAATAATCTTTTTAGTAAGTTAATGAAACAAATTCTAGAAGCCAGTACCAAAACAATCAAGTTATACACCACTTACATTGCCTGGTGAATGCCATTCAGTCCAGATAAAATTATGTCTACATGTTACATACATTTTGTAAAGTTTTATATTACACGAGCCGACTCGCTATTTAGTTTGTTTTATTTTCTACTTTTCAGTAATTCATAATTTGTGAATTCGACAGTACTAATGCTGCCACTGAATATATTTGCTTTAAAACACTATCAGTAGCTTGTTAAGGACGATAACCACCCCCCCCCCCCCTCCTTTCCCCAACCCCTACCCTACACCTCCCCCCTTGAAAATAGCCTCCTCATAGTTACCTCCCCTACGTTTAAAATAGTTTCAAACTAAATTATCTGCCCCTAATAGCCGTCACTAAACCCAGCTCCACGAATGTAAACATTTAGCGTGAACCACAGCTCACCAGACCATGTAGGGGTGGGTGTGATAGGGAGCGCGCTTGCAGCTTGTTTTCTAACGTCTCCCGGAAGAGAATTATATATATAGATATATTTTGTAAAGTTTTAGGTTTTAATCTACACCTTACAAATTTTTTCACCTGACAGATCTGTGAAGAAGATGCACTTTTGGCCGTAGCAGCCTGGCCCCTGCTGGCTGAACTGGACGTCTATGACAACCCTCTGACCACAGATTTCTGTGGGGACCCACCATTGCTGAAAAGGTTCCTACAGGACAGGCTGGGCATCAAGCTCAACAGGTTAGAACTGACAGTCACATACAGTGTTACATCTAAGGGCGCTACTGACAGCTTGTTTATATTGTTATAACATTATATGGCAGCTCATTAAATGCTGAAACCAGCCCATTGTACAATATATGTAACTAGTCTAGTTTTTCCTTCTGAGAAAACATGCAAGTTAAGTAATGACCAGACAATAGAACATTAATTTGTAACTCATATTTTATGTGGTTTTTTGCTTCAATAAAGAAAAATATATTTATGGTCTGAACAAATCTAATTTTTATAAACAATCTCTATAATCTAATTATCATCAGTAGTTAATTAGATCTTATAATGTTCAAGCCAGGTTATTTTTTTTTCCACAGAAAAAAGCCACAAGAGGGTTCAGGGTTTCTTAAAAAAGGGAAAGTAGAAATTCACCCCAAGCCTATCAAAGTAAGTTGTCTTTTTTCTGTTTAAAATAAAAAATTATCAATGTTGCCAAACAACTATTTTGCATTAAGGATGAACCGCTAGTTATTTTAAAATAGAACATTTAAGAATGGACTTAATGAAATATCAATTTGGTGATTTTCAGCACAAATAATGTAAGGTATTTTTAAGTTAGTTTAACTTATTGATGTTTATTGATGTTGGTAGATAACAGCTTAGAGATAAATTCATGTCACTAATAAAAAAAAGATTTTTAAAAAATGTGTTAAATTTACTAACAATAATGTACTTTTGATGCTATAAAGAGTTATTGATGGAAGAATATATACAAATAATTTAATTTAAAAAAAAGCTTTTCATCTACTTTTAACCCTCTAACTACCAAAATCACTAGTTGTCTGGAAACAGTGCTGTCAACACACAAAATGTGAGCATTTAAAGGGTTAAGTTTTTGTTCCTGTACTTGACACATTGCCTGCTTGTGTACCCAGATCACAGACAGGGTTCCTAAAGTGCCGAAGGTTCCTGTGGAAGAGAAGATGATGCTGGAACCACCACCATCCCACAAGGCAATTCATGGCAGCTCCACTGCCAGAGATACCCATGATGATATGGGGGTCAAAGGTCAGATAGTTCAATCACATTTTTGTCTTGTTTTTTTTTTTTTCAATGTTGACATTTACCAACATGCAACTCTTCTTGGGGTTGTTTTTTTTCTAATTTTATAAATTATAGTAAAACAATTTTTTTACTAAATTTAGAACTAATTTCTCATGACTATGTACAATTATTTTAAAAAGTGTACTATCCTTAATAAAATAATTGATTTCCCCCCCCCCCCTTTTTTTTTTTAAAAAAACTATTATTCCATTAAAACAAATATAATATATTGATTAATATTTAAATTTAAAGGAGCTCATCAAAAACCAGTTCTGCCACCTATTCAAAGTGAATCTAAAGATGAAGTTTTAGATGCCTGGATAGATGACTACATGGAGAAAGAGTCCTTTGAGGAAGAGCAAGATGGCAGAGAAGAAGTTCCCAGCAATGCATCATCTGATCAGTTTTTCATGACTCAGGTATATGGATGTGCTGATATACAAATCTCATTCATCATTATATAAATGATGATATAAATATATATAAACACAGAGGTTGATTGTGATAGTGCCTATATTCTAATTAATGGAGGGCGTGTTAGAACCTGTGGTTGACTAAAAAAAATTTAACTTTGCCGATAGCATGAGAAAATTCAGGGACATGTATGATCATGTGACTCTCTGTGTGGATTGTGTAAATAAATGCTAAAGCACCCCCACCCCCATCTGAACACCTCACAACTCTGTTGGATCAACTGAATAGTATTGATATATTGATCAGTTGAATTTGCGTTTTCACCCGCGTGTCACCCCCAAACCACATCAGATGGTGTCAGTCTGTAATTACTGCTGTTTTCTCTGCTTATTTTTCCCATTTTTGACTTGGTGTCATCCTCTAAACCCATTGAGGTCTGCACCTCTCACTCCCACCTCATGATGCTGCTGCATAAATGTGTTTATATAAATTACCATTGTTTACTGTGAATACGTATTACATCATATAATACTAGTGACATTTATGTTTCAGGATTGTTAAAAATTTCAAATTTTAATGTCAGGATTTATAAAATTATGGGATTGATTTTTAGGACTGACTTTAAAAAATGAGTGTCGTCGTCTCTCTCCCCCCCCCCCCCCCCCCCCCGTATTCTATGACCCAGTCTTGCTTCCTTCTTGTCTACTATATATTTTAATTATTTTCTTTTTTTTTAACAAAATTACATTGTATTTCATAAAGTTGGATGACATGGGGGAGAAGAGAAAAGGCAGAGACTTCAAAGCATCATCTTTGGCAGAAAAAAGTTTTGAACCCAGGCAAAATAAAACAGACCAAGCTGCTGATTCAAAGTACCGAGGCTACGAGGATTTGTTGAACATTGAAGATCTGGATGATGAGCCCATTCTACCCCCTGCTAAAGGTAAATTGCAGTTTTTTTGTGTTTACTCAGCTCAATTTTTTTTTTTAATTTTGCTTTACATCTATGGTCAAAACTTTTAATCATTAATGAGAAACATATTTTCAAAAACTGTTATTGCGTTATCAATGATGCATTCATTGTATTTTAGGAAATAAGATTTTAACTCAATAACAAAAATAGAACCATTTTAATTAGAAACCTTATAAGGTGGGTAATAGTTAGGTAAATAATTAGAAAATAAGTCTTAATTTATTCTTACCCTTATACACCTTTGAATCACCAGATAGTTTATAGAAATGCATTATATAGAACCATTGTAAGCAGTGGCAGAGGCTGGATTTGGTCATAGGGGAGGGTTAAAAGAATATTTATAACCTCTCCCCCTTCCTATGCTGCTGCTTGCAATTATAATTTGGTCATTGATTAACTGAATAGAAAATGTTGTTTTGTTACTCAGACATACAAGGCAACATCAGGACACTAAAGCACACACTAAACCATTTGCTGGTGGTGCAATTATAATGTGGTCATTGATTGACTGAATAGAAAATGTTTTGTTACTCAGACATACAGGGCAACATCAGAACACTAAAGCACACACTAAACCATTTGCTGGTGTTGCAATTATAATGTGGTCATTAATGAACAGAATAGAAAATATTGTTTTGTTATTCAGACATACAGGGCAACATCAGAACACTAAAGCACACACTAAACCATTTGCTGGTGTACAGGGACCCTGCTGTTGAACTGACCAGGGTCAAGAAAATGGTGCCAGAGTATAGAAGGGTCAGTGATCTCCTTACAGTTTTATTTAACTCATGGTCTAATTAGCATTTCTTAAATAGACTTGTTTTAAAGACCAGCAATAATTAAGTTGTAATCATTAACAATGTATGGTGTTTATTTTTAATTTTTATAAAGGACTACAGTAACCACAATTCCTGATATGAAAATAATTTCATATCACTTTGATTTCAAATTTTATTTATTGCTGCATAAAAATATCAGAAATTTAATGAAAAATATTTTTAAGGAACTTTCTTAATTAAGTAATTATTAGTTTAGCCTGTTAAGAATTTTTATTAAGGCTTGTTTTTCTTGGGTTAAAAGAAATGTCGACTACTTGACCTTTAAACTATTGAATGGTTTTACTTTAGGTTTAAATAGACACCCATGCACTTACAATGATTAGATGTGTATGAATTTTTACTTTAAAACTTGAATTCCTTCCTTCCTTATTCCTTGTGGTCCCTGGGTAGCAAAGGGCTGCTGCCAAACCTCTCAATCGGTCTTGAGCGGCTCTCTTTATTTTTGCCCACTTAAGCCCTGCAGCTCTTGCCTCACCTTCTACAGTACTCCTACAGGATGTCCTTGGCCGGCCTACTTTCCCCTTCCCCTGGGAATTCCATACTGTTGTTGTCCTTACGATGTTGTCCTCTCCTCTTTAAAAAAACTTGAATGTAGTTATCAATGTTTATGATACCTCATTTGGTTAGCCTTTATTTATTTTTTGTTCCATCTTGTCAAATATCCAACCACTTACAACTACCATTTTGTCAAGACCCAAATTGTTTGTGTAGGTGCCAGTTGTTCCTTCAAAGCCGACCCAGACATACCAAGAGAAGGTGGATGATGTGCTGGCTAAATTAAAAGCCAGGCCAACATTTGAAGAGGAAAAACTCACCAATGTGTTAACTGATAAAAAGAAGTTCCAGAACAAATTTCCAGAGGCTCAGGTCTTGCTGGGTCAGGTATGTAGCAATATCGGAACAAAATTGTTCAACTTTTGCAATGCAATAAGCTTTTCTTTAAAGTGTACCTACTATATCTATAAGCTTTTTTTTCAACTAAACTTGTATTTTTAAAAATTACTACAAAATAATTTACTGAATAAGCAGAAAAGTAAAAATCCTTTTTGGATTTTCCGATCCACACCAGTTTCATATGCACACTCACTGAACCCGTCATAATAGTTCTACTGTCCGCTATTGCAAAATCCGATCTTGAATCATACAAGTTGAGTGTGTGTCTTGACCTCCGCCGAACCCTTGAAACTGACAAATCAAACTCATCGGGTTCTATCAAACCCATGTTAAGAGCCACTAGGCTAGTAACTTGATCTATAATTGTATTTATATCACTGTTGTATTTATATCACTGAAGTAAGCTCAGGAAAAAAGAGAAGCTACTAGCATTGAGCTATTAATGTATAGGCTCTATGTTAAATAAAAGTTAAAATAAGTATTTACATATGCATGAGTTCACAATAAGTTACTAATGATTGAACATATATGAGAACCACTTTCTTTTGTTTGATGTTTAGATACAAAGGCGATACAATGCTGTCCGTGTTGCTTCTCTCAAGGATGCCAAAACAGCTCAGGAAATCCATGGGAGTATTCCAGGACTTGTACCCACCCCTCCAGCTAAGGCAAAACTAGTATAGAACAAATGTTCTAGGATTTGTTCCAATATCTTCAGTTAAGGCAAAACTAGTATAGAACAAATGTTTTGGGATTTGTTCCAATATCTTCAGCTAAGGCAAAACTTGTATAGAACTAACATTCTAGGATTTGTTCAAATACCTTCAGCTAAGGCAAAACTAGAATAGAACTAATGTTCTAGGATTTGTTCCAATCTCTCCAGCTAAGGCAAAACTAATATAGAGCAATGGTTGATGGATTTTTTCCAACCCCCCCCCCCCCCCCCCACCAGCTGATATAAATTATCTATATATTTATCAGTGTCAGAGTTTCTGTATATTTATGTATATAAATAACTGTTGAACCAATGATACAACCCTATACAACATAACCTGCTGATCAACCATACCCATGTATATGTATGGCTAGTATTGTCCATAATATTTAACATTTATGTTGTTTTTATTAGGACCCTAAATAGAAACTGCTGTGCTATTTTATTTTAGTCAGTGCTGATTATGGCATAAAATAATTAACTACTTTTTAAAGACCAAAAACCAGAAAAGATAATGTAATGTTCTACATTATGCAAATTTGTCTATGTAAAAATGTGTTTACACATTTTACACATTTTAATGTATATTTCAGTATTTTTTTCTGAAGGGATATTTGAAGGTCGTTTGGATCTTATACATAGTTTTTGTGAAACATTGTAATAATATATTATATCTATATATGTTATTGTGATGTAACTATACAATTAATAAAATTACCTGTGATGTAACTATACAATTAATTAAATTACTGTGATGTAGGTATACAATTAATTACTTGTACTTGTAGTACTACTACTAAGCTGAAAACGTCAAAGAATTGTGATAGCTGTTATGATTATTAAATATATTTTGAATTTCATTTCCTTGTTTTTAGACTACTTCTATTGTTTTTATTAATTAAGATTTTGACAACATGTTTGTGTATGTTTTTTAAACTATAAATTTATCCCAAAAGTAAACAATCCTATTTTGTAATTGTGTGTTTCCAGTGTGTTGTTAGCATGGTTGGTGTGTAATTTAAGAGAGGAAGGGAGATAATGCCTAAATTGAATAAAAGTTGGGAGTTAATTTCAAAGTTTTGTTTACTGTCAGCATAGCAGGCTATAAATAAACGACACAAATACCCGAATGTAAAACTGAAATTGAATGGGTATTGTTGCCTACCGAGGTGGGGTAAAAGGGACCACATTTCACTTTCGGGATTTCTTGAGGGTCTAACAACACATGGGACATAACAAGACGTGTCACTACATGACAGCTCACTACATGGGGAGGGGGGGGGGGGGAATACACACAAAATACCAATGTGTCTCACGGCAAGTATTAGATTCAGGTAACTTTGGGCTGTATGGTTGCAGTACTACGAAAGAGAAAAAAAAATGGTACTTTAACCATTCTCATGAGCTTCAAATGAGAGACACTATGGCACTTTTAAAAGGCAACGTTAGTAGACTGGAACGGTGGTTAGTGTTTAAACAAAATTTCTCCAAATTACCGGTATAGAAATTTGTTTTGGATGGGAGCCTACTATATAGGCCTTAAGCAACGGATTAGTGACACCCTATATAGGCTAGACTACACTTTCGGCAAAGTATATTTCATACATTTTTCTGGAGGGGGGGGGGGGCTGGTTTGATGTGCTTTCGAAGAGATGCCTGAAAGAAACTCTGGTTTCGGCTGTGATCAGCAGATATGTCTTCCATACTCCTGTCCGCTACTTATCTAAAGCCTACTGGCCTACACACATTTTATCCCGCCAGTTCTCCTTATTTAAAACTGCTGGGTTCAGCTTTTTGGTGCAACGCGAGCTTCTAAATATACCTAGGTTTAATTGGTTTTAAATAAAGGAGGTGAATAGCATTATGAGTTGAGAAAGTATATCTAGCAAAGTTGTATTTTATCCTGCTTTAGCAATAGATGCAATAGAAATGCTATGTGTGCATATAAGGCTTATTTTGAAAACAATATCATATTATTTGTTATTGGTGTAGTTTTACATGGCTGCTAACCCGAAAGTCTCGAGTTCGAACCTTCGATCAGATGAAGCTCGTCAGCTGAGGACAGCAACCCATCTAGGTTAGAAAAATCAAACAGGAGTAGAGTCCACTAGGCGATAGGATTACCAACTCTGGTTTCCTTTCGACAGCTCCCGTGACACTGCTGATTCCAAGCTGTACAGGTAACGTCCTGTCCCTTGGGTCAATCAGCCGTGTGGAGAGAGGGGGTCTGTTACATGGGCAACATAATTATGGCAATTCTCATCTTACCGCCCAGGCTTTGTGCTTGGATTTCCAATACGCAACCATCCAATGGTTTATTAGACTATGGAGCCATATAGTTTTTATCCATACAGAGAGTTAAATGAAAACCGGCATTACATTTAAATATACGTTTATTCAATCGTTTTTTTTTTTTGTGGCAGTATCATAAACACAAAATTATCAAACCAACCATGACAAAATGGGTTCTGTGGCAGTTACATGGAACTAGTAGAAAAAATATGTGAAGCCTCCCCACCAAATCACGATTAACAGTCAATAGCTAATATTAAATATCCAAACTACTCGATAGCAAGCTTGATTCATTTGGGATTGAACAGCACAAAAAAATATAATTGTGTACCAAAAATGAAGGTCTATAACATGCTTGTGCATAGGTCTGTGTAAAACGATTGCACTGAGCACACACACAACTGTCTATAGCAACGTCATAGTACGCATAATTATTGTCTAATTAAAAATACAATCGTATGCTTAAAAAGTAGGGAAATAACAAAGAAAGAGGGTGTTGAAATAATGGCCCTTTATTTTTGCGTATAAGAGTGTAGCGTCACAAGCGGGGAGTGGGGGGGGGGGAGAGAGGGGGTGCCATGACGTCGCAAAACCTACAAAGAAAAGAATGCTCTATTTCAGGGGTCTCCAAACTTTTCAGTCCGAGGGCTGCATTAAGTATCAAATTTCAGTTCGGGGGCCAGTTTCTTCTAGGCATGTCTTTGATTTTTCTGTGCAAAGTTGCTCTGCCATCACCAACAAACATTTATTCCGTGGACAAAAAGATCTCCGCGGGCCGGATGAGAGGACCTCGCGGGCCGCATCCGGCCCGCGGGCCGTAGTTTGGAGACCCCTGCTCTATTTCGATCGGTGTAACTGGTTCTAGCGAACTCAAAGTGGTCCGTAATTAGAGTCTTACGTAAAGCATTGTCTAACGCACTACAAAAATGTATTTTATGATTTTATGTTTGACGAACATAGACATAAGAGGTTACAAACTAGTAGTCACGTTTCTGTTAGTATGGTACAGAGTTTCTTCCAGGCATCTCTTCGGGGGGTCGAAGCCCCCCGAAAAATTTTTACCGCCCCCCCCCCCCGAACGAAATGAAATTTATATAATTTATATAGAAAATATATACTTTTAACAGTGTCCGCCCCCCCGAAGAAAGTCTACCGCCCCCCCGAAAATTTCAAGTGCCCCCCCGGAGAAAAAAGTCTGGAAGAAACACTGGTATGGTACACAGACGTTCGCGAGCAAACATATACTTATATAAATATATGCCGCTATATATACATACATACATACATACATATATATATATATATATATATATATATATATATATATATATATATATATATATATATATATATATATATATATATATATATATATAAAGATAGTAGGTGGAGGGAAACCCTTGTCTCGCTTTAGAGCGAGACTTGATTAGTGAAATTATTAGCCTACAACTATGCACAACAAACAATATTAGATTATTAACTACACCAAAAAGACGAAACAACACTCCTGAATTTAGAATTAAACTTGTAGTAAACAAGAAAGTTCAAACTGCAGTTGAGGAGCTGTGAGATGGTCATCGTGTTGATGATGTTGTGGCTGACATTCTGGTACCGTTTTCCGATGGTCAGTTCCGGTTCTGAGACCTGCGCCAGGTTGACGAGAATTTTCGGCATGTTGCAGACGATGTACAGGATGGAAACGAGGGTGACTTGTTGCACGACTTGCAAGTCTTTCCCAGAGAGGGAACTCGATGTTTGGCCTTCTCGACTTCTGCCAGATTTATTTCTAGGGTCTGTTCCATCGCTGGTTATCATGACAGATTTTTGGCGAAACGCTGAGGATTTTCTTAAACTGACGACCATTATTCCAACGCAGATGATTAAAATAAATTGCGAGGCAAGCGAGAGAAAAGTGTCTCTCATTGTCCAGACGATATCTTTTATCGTCTGCCGGCTTGAAGTAATCCACAGCAATGTTCTGTTTGAATTAACACGCGCGTCGAATGTTGTACTCATCCCCATATTCAACAGAACTGGCAGATAACTGAACACTGTGAAGATTGCAAACGCTAAATGAATAAACAACGATCGATTTTTCGTGAAAGCGTTTTTGAAATGGAGCGGTTTAGCCACGCACATTGAACGGGCTATGGCCAAAAACATGGTGGTCAGCATCGTCATGACGTAGAGGAGAAAACTGACGTTCGCTGATAGGATGTAGGCGCCAAACGGGTCGACAGTAAACCAGGTGTGGTAGTGGGTGTCCATCTCTAGAGCCCAAAACGCCGTTAAAATCCCCATGCTGATGTTTGACAAGACAAAGACTAAATCCGACACGGACAGGATGAGAAAAGACACGGTGACGCCGTCGTTCACGCCCATTGACACGAAAGCTTGAATGTTTACTGTGTTGCTAAGGACGCCGAAGAATGCGACCACAACAAACAAGATGGCGAACATCCAGAGTATGTAAACTTCCTGTTCGTTGCTGATGAGACCACCCTCAATATATTTCTGTACAACTGTTAGAATCATGTTTTAATGTAAGGAGATGCTATTCTGCTTTATACGTAATGCTTAAGTCTAATTTAATAAAAGCAATATCTTCTTTAAAATTTCTTTCTTTAAGGGTTATATTTCTCAATCGTACACTTCTGCAACAAGCTATATGGAAGTGAAGATATGTAGGACTTTGTATTTTGTTTTGGATCTCTGAAACTTATATATTATATCTTGCGAAGCTGTTTTTAAAAAACAAACAAAAAAACTAAAAGTATATTCCTGTTATGATCATTATTTTTTCAGGCGCTATACACTTTGTCTTAAAAATCGTTGAGTTAAATTAGTGAAAACAGCACAGCGTTAAAAAAAATGGAATAGCTTTTTTCAAATAATATTTTTTTAAATTTTCTTTACTTCGTTTTGAGTACTGAAAGAGAGGCTTAGTCAGTATGCTCTATGTAGGCTTAGATGTAGGCATATCAATGTAGTTGCATCTGGGCAATTAGCCTGGTTTATATGACGGTGTTTACGTAACGGAAGCGCTTCCTTGGAAGAAAAAAACGACTCATCTAATGTCGTAATTTTCCTGACGTTAAGTTCACGTACTAAGACAAATATGAAATAATTTATACTTTATCGCTTCCAACTATTATAGATTGTTCAGGCATATTTACACTAATTTCAAATTATTAAAATTAAGTCAATTATCCAATAGATTTTTGAACTATATAATACGAAAATTAGTTTGTTTTTCGCTTAAAGGAATTATTTCACTAACATTAAGTATAATTAAAGTTTTTTTAAACCAGTGTAGGGAATATGAATCGCGGTTCATTTTTTTTTTAAATTATTACATTTAACTTTGACCCCGGGTGTTTTATTGAGGTAATTAGTTTCAGATACACCGTAAGAGTGCTTTACCGCCGCTGACGCGAAACACCCGAAGACATTGTGCTAAATTAATTACAACTAATTACTTAATTAGTTTTAGAGTCGACCCCTCGGAAAATAAGATTTTCAGCCCCTAGGCAAATAAGATTTGACAGTTTTCCAATAAAAGACCGCGATTCTTTAAGTTTCTTTCGGTTCATCAATTCGTTACCAATTTAATATCAGTTTAAGTTTTTAAATAGTGCAAACATTGACTTTAGGCTTAGGATAGGTTCTGTTTAATCCAATGCGAGTTGATCGAAGTTGTCTAGATTCAATTAACATCAACTGAACTACTCAAATCGTCTTAGTGAAATTTGTTTTAGTTTGTTAATCGGAGGGCAAATATTTATTTTTCTTCTAATTTGGTAAAGTGATCAAAACTTTTCCTAATTCAGACTTTACCATATTTCATAGGAATATGCTCACAACTACACGGCTGTACCAGCTATGTTGTCTCAGCTGTACTTACTAAACCACGCCTGGTACCAGCTATATGATCAGTTTCACGGCTGTACTAGCTATATGTGATCACATTTCCATGACTGTACCAGCTCTATAATTAGCCTCATGACTGTACCAACTATATGATCAGTTTCACGACTGTACTAGCTATATGTGATCACATTTCCATGACTGTACCAGCTCTATAATTAGCCTCATGACTGTACCAACTATATGATCAGTTTCACGACTGTACCAACTATATGATCAGTTTCACGACTGTACCAGCTATCTATTCACAGTTTCACGACTGTACCAGCTATATGATCATTTTTACAACTGTACCAGCTGTATGATCAGTTTCATAACTGTATCAGCAATATGATCAGTTTTATAACTGTACCAGCTATATGATCAGTTCCACGGCTGTACCAGCAATATGATCAATTTTATAACTGTACCAGCTATATGATCAGTTTCACAACTGTACCAGCTATATGATCACAGTTTGACGACTGTACTAGCTTTCGATTAGTTTTTCAACTCTATGGTCGCAGTTTTAAGACTATACTACCTAAATACGTACATGTTTATGATCACAGTTCCACGGCTGTACCAGCTAAATCCACCACATTAACTCACATTAGCTCTACGCCTAATTGGAAAAAAAATACAAACTTATGCTAAAACAACAACTGAGCACCACTTACGTGTAAGACCACGCTAAAGTATCGGTCTGTGTGACGTCAGCATGGAACTAACCCCACAACCGCTTTACTTTAAATGACAATCTGACGTCATCAAGTGTGAACGTTATATACAACCGGAATATACCTTGGGCCATTCACGTTGATTTAGATGACATTATGTATTCTACCACAAGTCTCAAGGCGAGTTGGCACTTAACTTCAAGTCTATGGGCACCTATATTTTCTCTCAGGTCCGAAGAAAACCTCCAGAGATCAGACTTTAGTACAGTGTTGCTGTGTGTTGGGACATTGCATGTGTTTCCTACATGCACCTACACCAAAACATGTTTCATCATCATTGTTTTTATCTTTCCTGGAACTACAATAGATAAAACCGAGCTTGTTTTAATCTTATCTTCATATTACGATTTATAAACACTTCCCTCTAAAACAGTTTCGTTAGAAAACTTGCTCAGGCGTAGAAACTACGACTGCTTCCGAGTATAGATTCTGGGTTCGAGTTTGTAGAAGGTTCCTGAATCAAACAAAGTTCGTAAGGGTACCGGACTTCCGTTAGGCAAAGTAAATGCGGCTGGGCATAAAACTGACTGCATTACGGAAAAAAAGGTTAAATCCTTCTCATTTGTTCTATTGACCGTTATGTACTCGCAATATCTTTTTTCGTTGAATAATGTTAGTTAAATTTTAATATCCTAAGATCGTGTTTTAAAATTATTTACAGTAGATCGGGTACTTAAGACATTTTGAAAAACAGTCTTGTCAATAAAAGAAATATGAAACAATTGTATGGAATTTAAAATAAATCTGTATTTTCTTAGAGTTGCTTTTCACATTTGTTTGGAAGTAAAATTAAAATCTTCCTTCTTCCTGAAACTGATTAGTGATAGACCCTCCTACAATCTTCTTTCAAGTTAATCGTACATTAAATGTTATTTGACTGTTTTCTTAGCTCGGAGGCATAATTTTTTTTTATATGAATGAAGTATTTTTAAAAATGAGATTTTATTTATATGAATAACACTTTCTAATGCAATACATCGATTAAAAGTGAGCTCAAGAAATATTTGAAAAGTTGATGAAAGGGAAATGTTTTGAAATTCTCGAAACCACTTTTTGTTTAGAGATGTGGCAATGATTGATTTTCGACACTCAGTGTCTTGAGCCAGATAAAAATCGGCAATCAAGTACAGGTAGGCTAACTGGCAGATACAAATAAACGCGAGATATGAAAGAACTTGCGTATCTCGAGATTTGAATGAGAACCACTCAACACGCTAATAACTTAATGTAACGCCTCGACTAAGGATTAAATAACCCAATCAAGTGTTGACAGCCGAGGAGGAAGTATTTTGAAGAAAAGTTGAGAAGTTTTTCATTTTATTACGCCTGTGGTCCATTCGTTTGAATTTTAAATCATGTATTAACATTTTTTATTTCATTTTTGTTTTGAACTTTTACTTGGGTCGAATGTTGGCCTGTCTGTTAGCCTAATGTTGGTTTGTCGCAAATATTATAAGTATATTTCGACCCACTTTTGAGCCAGCAATTCAGTCCACATACAATTGTCTCACACGACAATGCAAGAATATCAAATTTTTAAAAAATCTGGTAAGATGTTAGATTTGAAATAAAAAAATTAAAAAAAATATATATTCAATAACATTTAATAACATTTTTATTGCAATAACATTTATTGCGCATAATCGGTAATCGCAACAAGGAGGAAAAGACAAATAATTTAGACTTTGTTTTGCTAATAACAGTTACCTAAATTATTGACAACATCAACACATCAAATTTGTATGAAAGTAATTTAAATACACACATGTAAAAAGATTTTTTTAAATAACACTACCAAAATATACTTCACCTTTTTCAGGCTGACAGAGTTTAAGATTATGACAAATAACAAAAAACAAACTTTACTCTTTTTCTCCTTTTTTTTTACACAAGACAGGTTTTTATTTTAATTGGTATAAAATAATTGAAATACATTTCAAAATTTCGCGAAAAGTTTTACAGAGAACTGTAGGCGTAGTTGTATGACAAAAAATTGTGTAAATAAAACCATGGTTTAGTGTGTTTTTCGTGAATCAACAAGACTTGTCAATAATTCCATGTATGGCCCATTCACTAACTCACTCAAGCATAACCCCACACCTATTAATCTACGCGCGCACACACACACATTACATCACGTACTTACTAACACACAAACACTTGCTCAATTGCGTAGTAATCACGCACTGATTCAATCTCTGACCTACATATACACCCGAGGAGTTGATCTATCAGTATTATCGTGCTTAAGGGTCATCCATAAATGACGTCACGCTTTTTTTGACGATTTTTACCTCCCCCCTCCCCTCCGTCACACGTCGTCACAAAAAGCCAGACCCCCCCCCCCTAAAATGACGTCACACCTCAACCTACAACCCCCCTCATAATTGCAGTTGAATTTTTTAAAAACATCGATATTTTTCCAAAATCTTGTCTAAACTATTACAATTTATTAAAACAGTTATCTAAAACGCGAAATAACGTCTAAAATTCGTTTTCTAACATTGCTTTTTTATAATGCAAAAATGTGACGTCGCAACATCTGACCCCCCCTCCCCCTCATCACACATCGTCACAAAATTACGGACCCCCCTCCCCCCTACGAGTGTGACGTCATTTATGGATGACCCCTTAGACGCCAAACCATTTTTCACCTGTTTATGATTTACTATCTTCTAAGTCTAAAAATACAACAGAAGCAGTAGCGTACGCAGGGGGGGAGCAGGGGGAGCGGCCGCTCCCCCTCTGGCCATTTTCATCAAAGTGGCGCCTTTTTGGAAACTTTTTAAACTCAAAGTTTTAAACAATTATATTTGTTAAAAAAATATTTTTGGTCGGCACATCTATGTAAATCACAAGATTTCTTTTCATGCAGCAATTAAGCATTATTGTACTAGTCTAGCAGTGTCTACGTTTACAACACGTATTAACAGCTGCATCAGTTTGCCATTCTAAAAATAACCATTACGATGCTTTGCAATGTTTAAAAAACCTCTACGGGTAGTACTACTTGGCAAGAGGGGTGTTAAGTTTAAGGCAACTGAATAATGTATTTGCTTACGAATAATTGAATTAGAAAATGTTATGCATAAAACTTCACACATAATTACTTTATATATACAGTTTGAATCGTGTGATTAATTTAAAAAAAATTACAATACAGAAACAAATACAACTGATGTGGCACCTCTATTTACATTTACTTATGAGCAAACTGCGTAGTGGTGGGGAAATTTTGACAAGCTCAAAAGCGTCATCACAATGAAATAGTAGTATTCTTACAGTTTGGGCGATAGTGATTACGATTACAAATTATATGAAACAGTTACAACCCCCCTCCCTCATGGACCCTCTGTAAAAAAATATTGTCATAATACCACTGCTACTTATTTAAATCTATTTCTGTAATATATATTTGTGTAATATATATTTGTACTTATTTAAATCTATTTCTGTAATATATATTTGTGTAATATATATTTGTGTAGTATATATGTATGTTAAGAACAGTCATCTAAAAACTGACGCTATGTTCACTCTGAGTTGGTTATCTCCCCCCCCCCCCCCCCCCCCCACACACCTCACCACTACAATTGTGTAGAGCGGCATTAATGTCACACCTAGGTATACACTGGGTTGGATAATTTACCTAAAGTGACCGGACAGTGGTGAATGAAGTTGAACCCCCCCCCCCCCGCCCAACCCACCCCGAACTGATCTGTTAAGTACATGTAGAAAAACGCGTATTGATGTACCAAAGTACCATGCCGCCAGAACATTAGCTTGTTAAACGTAAAACTCTGTGAATATTGTTTTTGCAATTACCAGTAAAAAGATGTGTGATCTAACCCATACCTATCACTATGTTAAAAATGATCTTTATAAAACACAAAGAAGCAGTATTTAATTAAAAATATATGATCTGAACTAAAAAGACGTATATTCAGTTAAATGTAGGCTGTTAATCCGAGTGTTTTTCTATTATATCGAAGAGCGTGGTTTTATACAAACTCTGATTTTAAAAACTTTCATTATGCTGTAATACTTTAGCATTTATGATAACGATATATTAAATTATGATTATAGACAAAAGAAATTTGTAAATACGAATAGTGTTAAACAGTTTCATTATATTCTAAAGTAAATATTTATTTGTTTTGACATTTTTAATTAAATGTGTAGTTATATACATATTTATATTAAGAGAGTGATTATTTCCCCTATTTCACTTGTCTTAAATAATTTCCCAGGAATCATTATGTAAGAATTTTTTTTTTTACAAGAATTACAAAACAGATTGTGTCGCGTTCATTGTTTTTGGTTGTAGTGTGTGTGTATATATTTATATATATATATATATATATATATATATATATATATATATATATATATATATATATATATATATATATTTTTTTTTTTTTTTTTTATTTATTTTTTTTTTTTTTTTTACATTGATACAATTTTTGTTTTGTCGGCCTACATTGTGTGTTTTTTCTTATTTCTTTAGAGTGCTACTTTCAATTTATTTTACATCATATATATATATATATATATATATATATATATATATATATATATATATATATATATATATATATATATATATATATATATATATATATATATATATTTATATATATATATATATATATATATATATATATATATATATATATATATATATATAATACACGTATATAGAACGTGTTAAAAATTCGGCGCCTTTTTTGCTCTTTTCGCTCCCCCTACAACGAAAACCTGGATACGCCTCTGAACAGAAGTTTAAAAAATAAAAAAAAACTGGTAGGAATATTCCTACAGAGCTGAATAAATTACCAGAAATAGCTCAAAGCAAAAGGTTGCTCCTAAATTAATGTTAGGTGTACATTTCAGGGGTCGTCCATAAATGACGTCACACTCGTAGGGGGAGGGGGGTCCGTAATTTTGTGACGGTGTATGATGATGGGGAGGGGGGTCCAGATGGTGCGACGTCACACTTTTGTATTATAAAAAGGCAATGTAAGAAAACTAATTTTAGACGTTATTTCGCGTTTTAGAAAACTGTTTTAATAAATTGTAATAGGAATTGATTAAAACACTCTATTTGACTGAGTTCAGACAAGATTTTAGAAAAATACCGATATTTAAAAAAAATTCAACTGTAATTTTGAGGGGGGTTGTAGGCTGAAGTGTGACGTCATTTTAGGGGGGGGGTCTGGCTTTTTGTGACGACGTATGACGGAGGGGAAGGGGGGGGGGAGGTAAAAATCGTCAAAAAAAAGCGTGACGTCATTTATGGATGACCCCTTCTCTAAATTTTGAAACAACATTATTTATTTTACCAAAATCCAAAGCTGATCCGAGATGAATATACTTTTGCTGATAGGAACTATAGAACTATACCAGATTTTTTTTTATTGCAGCTGCTCAATTTATATAAAAAATCTACCACACAAAAAATCTAATATGTATGTACACATTACTGAAACATATTGTTGTTAGATGTTCTACAAGCGCGTTGTGTGTCGTATTGACCCAGTTCTTCTTAAATTAAATCCGACTTACCTGACGGGCGGCAACGTTACAATGTGGGGGCGCCAGTGTTTCTTTCAGATTTTTTTCTCCCTGGGGGGGGGTGGTACTTGAAATTTTCTGGGGTGGGATGGACTAAATTTTCCGGCGGGGGGGGGGGGACACTGGTAAAAGTATATATTTTCTATATAAATTCTATTTCGTTGGGGGGGGGGGGCGGTAGACGTTATTCGGAGGAAATTCTGTTCAGGGGTCAGTTTTGCTCCCCCCCCCCCCCCCCCTTTCTAGTCCCGATGAAATGCTCGAGACAACAGCTGTAATGTCACCAGATTTTTCCCCTGTGTCACTAGAAGTTTTCCGGTGACTCGTGAATTTTGTCCGATATAGTCTGGGTCACTTCAACCAGTTAAGTTGATTGTAATTGGATGATAAAACATTATTACATTTGATATCGTTGTGAAAACTGTTACAAAACCGGAATATTAAATAATAAAATTGTTTGTTATATAGGCCCTATATGGAACGGGGATGTAGGACAAAAGGCCGACATCCAAGCGACTTAAACACAAAGGATCAACACCTAAATATTGCGAAATGCAGTCACTACTGACTTTCATAGCTCCTTCTATGTCAACAAGTTGAGACAACCATCAAAGAACCAAGGCAAAACTCCCCGGCATCGTGACCACATGCAACACGGCGGAACGCCAAGAGACAATGCTAGTTGCCATCCTTATAAGGTGAGCAATGTCGGCCTTATTTCCTGTCGGCCTTTCGGATGCCGGTCTTTTGTCTTGTCAGCTTTTTGTCCATGTCGTCTTTTTGTCCGTGTCGGCCTTTTGTTCGTGTCGGCCTTTTGCCCTGATCCCATGGGAAGGAGTGGTCTAGCGAGTTCGAATCTGTCAGGTTTAAAAAGGGGAACTTCACTTTATAAGCCCTATATCCGCTTTATTGTATAGTGGAGATTGTCTAAAATACGAAAAAAATATATTTTCGAAGTGACAATAAAGTGTGTTAACTTCAAAAGATTTATAAAATATTTTACTTTTTTTTTACGAAAGCGTGCATCAAATAAATAGCTGTACATTTTTAAATTAAAAAAAATTAAGCTAAAGCCCTCTAATTCAACTTCATTTAGGTATTGTGCGGGCAGTGTAGCCTACACACATGTACAATACTATACACAGAGAGTAATAGGAAAACATACAATTCTAGAAGGGTAATCTACCATTACAACCAACACGATAAAAATACATAGAAAAACGAAATTCACAATGTAGAAAACATAGTAGGCTCTAAAGCAGCCATTTTACCGTCATACAAATATAACAAAAACTGATCTCATTTTTTGAGATTATCGAATTATCTGAGCTCCACCCATCCTGTAATCATAATTTCTTCCTTATAAAACAAAACGGAGATTTCCAAAGGTTATCTAATTTAGCTGTTTGATATGCCAATGCAAAGAAAAACTATTCCTTGTTTACGAGCTTTTTTTTTTGTTTCCAAAATGTAAAGATTAATTCTCCGATGAAATCAAATATTCGAAACTTTGTTGAAAACCCACACACTGATACCTGCTGTAGAGTAGGAATATAAGTTTTATTTGTGGTTAACCACACAATGATACAAAGTGTAGGGTAGGAATATAACTTTCATTTGTGGTTAACCACACACTGATACAAGCTGTATAGTAGGAATAGAACTTTCATTTGTGGTTAACCACACAGCAGCTTCTAAATTTAGAATTGAACTTGTAGTAGACGAGAAAATTGAGGCTGCAGTTGACGAGCTGTGAGAAGGTCATGGTGTTGACGATGTTGTAGCTGATGTTCTGGTACCGCTTCCCGATGGTCAGTTCCGGCACCGAGAACTGGGAAATGTTGACCAGAATTTTCGGGAAGTTGCAGAAGATGTACAGGATTGAAACAAAGGTAACTTGTTGGATAATCTGCAAGTCTTTCCCTTTGAATTGTCCGGAGAATCTTTTTGTTTTCCTGTTTTTATTTGGCTGTGTGTTTGTATCAGGCAGCATCGCTTTGCGTCGAAACTCCAAGGATTTTCTTAAGTTATACGACATGATCGCGACGCAAGATATCAGAACAAATTGAGAGACGACGGAGAGTAGTGAGTCTCGTATAGTCCAAACTATGACCTTGATTTTCTCCCTTTCAGGTGTGATCCAGAGTAAGTCTCTACTGGAGTTAACTCTGGCATCGAACTCTGAACTCATCCCCATGTTAACAAGAACAGGGAGATAACTCAACACTGTGAACACGGCGAATGATAAAAGGATACACAGCGTACGCTTCATCGTGAACGAGTTTTTAAAATGGAGCGGTTTAGCCACGCACATTGAACGGGCTATGGCCAAAAACATGGTGGTCAGCATCGTCATGACGTAGAGGAGAAAACTGACGTTCGCTGATAGGATGTAGGCGCCAAACGGGTCGACAGTAAACCAGGTGTGGTAGTGGGTGTCCATCTCGAGAGCCCAAAACGCCGTTAAAATCCCCATGCTGATCGTGGCCAGCACGAAGACGAGGTCCGACACGGACAGGACGAGAAAAGACACGGTGACGCCGTCCTCGACTCCCATAGTAACGAAGGTGCGAATGTTTACTGCGTTGCTAAGGACGCCGAAGATGGCGACGACCATGAAAAGTATGGCGAACATCCAGTGGAGGTAGATTTCTTGCTCGTCGCTGATGTAGCCGCTCTCAATAAAATTTTGGACGATAGTGATATGCATTTTTGTCAAAATATTTTACTCATCTAATTAAATATACTTATTTAAAAAAATAAATAGTCGCATTAAAAACGAACTATGGAATATTTTTTGAATAAAAATCAATCTTCTTTTTACGGCTTAGATAACTAAAGCAGTTATGTATATCTACTACAGTTTATAAATATAAATTTTAGCTCCCATAATATCGAATTAATTGCAAAACGGTATTTTTTTAAATTACCTTTTTACTTTCTCGTATATACGAAGTATAGAGAAAGTATTGTAATCGTGCACAAAAATCACTTGAAATTTTAACAATTTTCACCGTATTACACCTCAGTCCTTCATCACATCCGAAGTACAGAGGACTTATTTTAATCGGGCAAAAATTATCAATCCAGATTTATCAAAATTAAGAGGTTTTATGCGTAATCCATTCTGAAAAACTGGGCTTTGCAATTCTGTCCGTATGTCTGTGTGTCTGTGTGTGTGTGTGTCCGTGTGTAAACACGATAACTTGAGTACCGTTACAGCTAGGTTGATGAAATTTCATATATAAGTATTTCATCGAAATCGTAGATCCGTATCAACTTTTGAGCGATTTCCGTTAACCGAAAGTGGTACTTTTTCTACTTTGAATTTTTCAAAAGCCTATAACTTGAGTACTATTTCAGATAGATAAATGAAATTTCACACGTAAGTAACAGATCTAATTCTCTACCTTCTCTCAAATTTTGAGTAATTTCCGTTGAACGGAAGTAGTAATTTACGCTACTTCCGATTTCTCAAAAACCTAATGAAAATTTTTAAAGTACTAATAATATTGCGCACTATTATGCACTTTTTTATTTGGCGTTCAATTGGTGTGCAATTATTTTGTCTACGAGATTTTATTCTATTTTTAAAACTTTAAGTCTTTAAAATGAATTAAAAATCATGTCTATAGCCCGAGTTCCCATCCCCTGTTGTTTTATATAAGAATATTCGAGAAAGTTTAGGGGAGATCACTCCCGGTTTATTATGATTATATTTTAGATAGAGACGCGTGTTCTAGTAACATAGGCCTACAAGTGATAGATGAAAATTTTGTCCCGTATGGTCCGTGACTTTAAATGAGTGGTGAGTAATATTTAAATGAACCAGGTCTCGAAGCAATCGTTTGTGTTCCCACACACGTGCGTTGACCAATTGCAGGGGACTGCGCGTTAAATGAGCTCGCCTCAACGCTGGCTAATTAGCGTGAAATGGTCAGCGTAAATTCCACGCCCTCTCCAATAAAGGATATTTCCTAAACGCCTAATAATATCACATAATTAAAATAATAAATGATTAAAATATCTCCTTCAAAACAAAATATAGCTTTTTATATAGTATTTTACGTAATGGTTGACTATTATTTTGCAAAATTAAAATAAATATTAATAATTTAAAAAAAAACAACAACTGCATTTAACTTCAGCGTATATAATTTTCATTTATTAGACAGAACGATAAATTGATGGCGTCAATGACATAATAACCATCTTTTAGATTAATGTAAGTCAGTTATCTAACTAAACACATATATTTTACTCATTACAATTACTACAAAAAGTTAATTATATCTAATTATAGTCAGTCGCTAAACATCGCAGTAAAGAGCTATAATTATCCATTCAATATTTGTCTTTTAGAATTTCAACGGCTGATACTAAACATAGTAATCAAACTACAAACAATATATTTAAAACAGCGTGTAAAAGAAATGTAAATTCTATAT